GACTAATATTGGTCTTAAACGAATCGTTGAATCGTTTTGAAGCTGTTCGGGGTCTATGCTTGTATAATGCTATGTAACGTAAAGGTGGCAAGGCTTTGATAGGTCCTTGGCCCACACCTCACTAAGGAAAGGTTCCAGGTCTTCACTCCGTCGTTCAGCCCATTGGGAAGAAAAAGGCTTGGATGGCTTGAAGGACCTCTCTGTTGAGCAGCCATGGGGGTTGCATCTCTCTTTGGCTGCCAACCCAGGCTGCGGCCAACCAACCAAAGAACCTTCAAATTCAAATGATATGTGGCAGCTGGTTCGTGTTTTCTTTCAATCATTTTTCCTTCACTAGGCTCAAAGCCTGAGACGAAGGAATCCCAAGGCCCAAGGACCGAGCACGAGCAGAAGGAATCTAAGAAGAAGGAATCTCCACCCTCAGATGGGGAAGAATCTGGTTCAGATAGTAGTGACATTGAAATTCTTGACCCGGATCAAGAAAATGCTGCTGGCTCCCACCTCGCAAAGTTGCGGAAGCAAGCCGGTCTTCCGGAAATGCCGGAAGATTCATTGCCATCTGGGTTGGCAAACAAGATCATGTGTTCTGCCTTAACTAGCGCATGGTTTTGCATTTTCCCACCAATGCATCCCACATCATCCCACCAAAACGCCACCCCCCGACCGAGGGCATGCCTGACCAAGCGATCTACAAAACTATCTGACCTGCTGAAAAAGTTCGAGGATGTTGAGGACAAAAAGGCACTTGATGTCCCGCAGACGAGGTCCGTAAACCAACAAATGGTTAGTTTGCTTTCCAATCATGTGTTGACTGGCCCATTTGCCAGCCTCATCCTATGCGCAGCGAAGCCCAGGCTGAAGGCGAAGGTCGATGATGCGATCAAGAGCCTCAACAAGATACATGAGCAAATCCTCTCTCAGTATACCGATGGTCTTGTAGACGGTTTCACCAAGAAGCGCCATAGTTTAATTAGATGTTTTTTCATTCTATAGAATGTTTCAACAAGAAGTGCCATAGAACGCCATAGATTAATTGGATTTTGTCCCTGTAGAAGATTTCAACAAGAAGCGCCATAGATGAATTGTTTGATTTTGTCCATGGCTCACCAACGGCCAAGCATTCCAAGTCATTCAGGTGTGAAGAGTCTTTGAAATCCCAGTTCATTGACGCTCAACGCCAGCTGACAGCTTAGCTCACTAAATCTCTGTACACTGTCCACGCTTGGAGCTTTTCTGACAACCCTATGTTTGTTTGCTTTTTGGGGGTGGCCAAGGGCCATTGAGTACGTGAGCTTGGAAAGTCGTGCCAGGCAGGGTGTTCAGCAAACCCCCTCATCACCTCTTCTAGTGTTTTGGGATCCCTTGCCAATTCACAACCTGCCTGCAGACAAGTGTTGCCGAAGGGCAGCGGCAGCGCCAAGAAGAAGCAAAAGCGTGAATCTAGGCGGGAGCAGAGAGGCAAGGCAAAAGGAGCCCCCAAGAGAGGTGCCAAAGCCAAAGCCAAAGCCAAGCAAGAGCCTCCACCTTCGCCAAAACGTGCGAGGAAGTGATCTATCCTTTAGATCTGTGTGTTTTGGGCTGTGTGCTTTCACACAGCTGCTTTTGACTGTCTAGAAATTAAGTTGCCGAATGGCATGGGGGAATGACTTCCGGTGTCAAAGTGACAAGTGAAGCGAGGGTCTAACAAAAAGGTTAAACACATAGGATGCAAGAGTTGATCGGACCAAGACGTTGATCTGTTAATCTTTTTGAATTTGGAGGTGTTGTGTGGCAAACTTTCTGCAGAATGCACAGGACACGTACTGACACCAGTCACAACTAGAGCCCACAATAGAGCATGCCAACCCTGCTCTGGCCAGGTGCCCGCTACCACCATGGACCCCTGGTGGAAACATTTGCTGAAGCTATATCTGATGGGGTCTGGAACTTGGGTCAGCCTAGGGGGAACTCCTTGTCGTCGCGTTCATGTCCTGAGGTTCCTGCTGCCTTGGTGGACACCATGGCCGCAAGCGCGGCCCATGAGGCGGCAGGTTTGACGTACAAGTGCCCAGGAACAGACAAAAACAGAACAACTACAAAGAATTCTTCCCGGACTGTCCGGAGAATGCTGAAGCGCTTAGGGATGAACTGGAACATTCCAATCACGACAGCTCAGTTCCCAGTCAATGGCGCTGATGACTTGGAAGTTCACTACATTGATCCCATTGATTTGTTTGGGTACTTGCTTGACCGGGAGCCTGCCATTCTCTTCGGGGGAATGGAAGATGTTCAGAAACAGGGCAACCTTTTGAAATCATGGTGGTCTGCATTTCGTGACTACCAACCTGCACATGCTGTATTCCAAACTCATGGCGATGCTCTGGCTTCAACCATACCTTGTTCTCTCTACGGAGACGAGGGTAAAGGCAGACGAAGAGGAAACACAGCTGTGTGTTCCATAGAAGTTCCATTCGGTCTGCATTCTGCCCTTTTGGAAGGAAAGGATGAGCATGCGCTAGACTGCAGCAGCTGTTCTCCTGGGATACACCGTGAAGTGAGAAATATTGGTGGCTATGCTGCTGCAAGCATGAAGGAGCACAGCTTCTTGACCCGTTTTTTGCTGTGGATTCAGCCTTGCGTCAACTACAAGGCCCATGACGGTCTCATCAAGTGGCTCCTGGCGCGCATTGGTGCGTCTTTGCGACAGCTGTTCTTTGAGGGCTTGACTGTTCGTGGTCGGTGCTACACATTTGCTCTTGTTGCCATGAAGGGCGACCAAAAATGGCATATTTCCATTGCGTCCCTCACAAGGCATTTTGGGACTCGAGGCCGGAAGCGAAGTTTACAGATGTGCTACGAGTGTGAGGCCGGTCGTCGAGATGCTCCGTATGAGGACATCAACAGAACGGCTGCCTGGACACAAACGCTCTACAGATCCCGTCCTTGGGACCAGCCTCCTCCACTGTTGGTGGTGCCTTTTGAGCCTGAAGATGGGCGCCAGGAATTCCTGTATAAACGGGACATTTTCCACATCGTGAAGCTGGGGCTGCTCAGACATTGGGTCGCTTCGACATTAGTGAGTCTCATCCAATGGGGCTGTGCCTTTACAGTTGAAGGCGAGCCAAATGCAGTGGGATACCAGCTTGAACGTGCGCATGCTTTTTTTAAGATGTGGTGCCTGGCGTTCAAGAAGTCTGCAGCGTTGCGGAGCTTTTCCCGGAACCTTTTCAACTGGCCAAATGCGAAAACGGCCCCGTGGGCCAATGTCAAAGCCTCAGATTGTGTCTTGTTGGCCGGCTGGCTCTGCTCTGTGCTTCCGGCTTATGCTTCACAGGAGACTGGAGAAAAGCAAGAGCTCCTGACGTTGATGTGTCAGACTGGCCAGCATGCGCTGGATTTCTACGGTAGGTTGGTGAAGCATCACCTACTGATGCCTCGTTCTTGTGTGGCCGCCTCTCTTCACTCTGGACTATCTTTTCTGAAAGGGTACACCCGCCTGGCGTATTGTAACATGCGGCAGCCTTTTGCTGCGTGGGCCATGGTGCCCAAAGTTCACTCATTCAGGCACTGCCTGCATGAGTATGAGCTCTTTCTTGCCGACCCTACCAAAGAGTTTTTTATCAATCCACTTTGCTGGGCTTGTGAAACAGGGGAGGACCTGATTGGCCGAGTGTGCAGATTGGCTACAACATTAGATTCCCGATACGTTACGCTTCGATGCTTGGAATTCTATTTGGTGAAGTGCAGGATTTTGTGGAACCGTGCATCGTGCAGGATCCTGCGATGAGCGGACCAAAGCTTTCTGAAAACATATTGAGCCAGTGCTGCTGCCACACTTGCCGGCAACTCTTCAACTCACCCACTGTCATCCTTGGAAAGCACAAGGAATCAGACTTCAACCTTATCTGGGTTTTGGCTTTCCCCTAGGCCCAAGCAATTCTGCATCCAAGAGCCAGAGACCTTCCAATCTCTGCTATAGTCAGGGTGTGTAATCTGAAACGCTTGTTTTCAAGTGAAACGACAGTTTTCTCTGGAAACCGCAAACATTTGTGCAGTTTGACGAAACGATAGAAATTTGTTCCTAGCGGAGGTCTTAGGTATAGTCGACACAAAGGTCCTGCGTGTCCAATATGCAATGAGTCAACATGGGA